CTTCCAACCCAAACTAGTCTGGGATTCTATAGAAATGAGATGATGGCTCCCAGCAGATCCCCACTCATGCCCAATCTCTTTACAGCGTTATGACACACACGGGGATGTAAAACCCACCCGGATGCAGAAGTCGCATTTCCAGAGCACTTTTCAGGGAGCTGAGCAGCTGCTGCCTCTGATTAGTCCTTTCCAGGCAGAACTTGAGGTCCTCCACAGCAGGCTTCGACTCTGGGAAATCTACAAACCAGGCAGTGATGAGAAACAGCGCCATGCTCCGTGAGAAAGCAAGAGGAGACAGCGTGGGACATCAGGAGATGAAGACAGATCTATCATTAATCTAATTCAAGTTCAAGAGTGAATGAACACTGAATAGGGGTCACACCTACCTCGAATGATGCTGAAGAGCTCCTCGATGCGCATGCTGGCATAGATGCGGTAGAAGAACCTTTGGACGTGGCAGCGCCAGCGCTTCAAGGTGCTGCTGGCTTCTGGAGAGGAGCGAGCCAAGGCACCATCTTGTAGGAAAACCCTGCTGAGCCAGCCGATCACTTTCTCAATCCACTGCACAAGGAGATGGAGAGCAAAGAGATGGTGAACACCACAACCACGTCCCACACTTACCCCATCACCTGCAGGAAGCGGGAATGAGCAGCTACCCAAGGACAGCATCACCTCCAGCTGCTCTCCAACGCACCCATAGCCAGGGAAAGCCTTGCTGAAAGAATATGAACTTGAACTAAAGATCCAGGCTATAGACCATGCAGATGTCTATGATAAGGGGTGACTGAGGACTGTACACAGGCATTTGGCTCCAAAATGGGCAGGGTAGATTCCAAAATTTGCAGACCACTCTATTCTTGCAGAATTCCATTCTTTCAGAACTATTATCTTTATCAGATAAAAAGGTTGGATGAGGCTTTGAGCAACCTGGTCTAGTGGAAGGTGTCCCTGCTGCTGGCAGGGGGGTTGGAACTGGATGAGCTTCAAGATCCCTTCCAGCCCAAACCAGTCTGGGATTCTATAATATGAATAAATTGTTCATCACACCACCCTTGGCCCCAAAATTTCTATGATTCCTGAAATTACTGAAGAGCAAACAAGCCATCCCAAGGACACACAGACAGACTTTTGCCAACCAAACTCAGGCACTTGAACCTGAGACCTCAACTACCAGCCCAGTCACTGAATAATAAAATCCTACAACCTGAACATAGAACATCAGACAGGTTCATTTTTTTTATGTTTGAGATTTAATCTTCTACAGAGAAATGTGCAATTGTCAAATTTCAAATGTACTGAACTACAATATGCAGACATTCCAAATGTTTTCTTAATTTTACGTTTCCTTTAAGGTGTCAAATGCATAGTGCTTCCTGAAATAGTATTAGAGTATTAACAGCTACTAAATAATAATAGTTTCTGATAGCCAGATTCCAACAGCCTGAAACAAAAACACTAAGTCAAGGTCTGGTTTGCTGATGTTAATTTTTAATTATCTAATCGACTGAGGAAACGCCGAAAACTGAAGGAATGCACAAGTTCTGCTAATAACTGTAAGGACAAACCTGAGAATTACAGAACATCTGAGCATCGATCTGGGTAAAAGTGTGGAAAAGCTGCTAAAGAATTTTCAGAGAATCTCAGACTAGTTTGGGTTGGAAGGGACCTTAAAGCTCATCCAGTCCCAGCCCCCCTGCCAGCAGCAGGGACACCTTCCACTAGACCAGGTTGCTCAAAGCCTCATCCAGCCTGGCCTTCAACACTTCCAGGGAGGAGCAGCCACAGCTTCTCTGGCCAACCTGGGACACTGTCTGTTCCTTTTCCTAAAGGACAAAAGGAAACGCCTAGGTTTTTAAGGGATACAATTAATATCAAGCCAACCCATTTTTCCCCAGAGTTTATCTTCTCTGAGCGCTTCTGTTACAGCCCAATCAAGAACTGACACTCCAGCTGCTGCTGCTGCTGCTGTGTCTGAAGAGGGGGTTTGCTGTCAGCACTGGTACTCTTACCAAACTGTTTCTCAGTCTTCTCCTATTTTACCTTTAGCTTCCAGGCTTATGCTTTGTTTCTTTCTTTTTTTTAAAATATCTTCCCAATGTGGATACTGCTTCTACTTTTTTCTACTTCCTAATTCTGCCATGCTCCAATATCCTGCGGCAAAACACGCTGGCCTTTCTGAAGAGGTGGGAGCAAAGGGACCTTCTGCAACATCTGACAAGTGGAATGCAGTTGTATTCTTTTTTCTAGTGCCCTTAAAAAGTCCTTAAACAATCTCCAGGTCATTCAAAAGCATTTCACACTAAGGCTACATAAAGAAGGTGTCACACAGCAACTGAAGGGAAGTAAACATAGAACAACTGAGGACAAAAACTACTGGCATGGCAAACAGCAAGGAAACTAGGGCAACCAGAGAGAAAGCAGCCTGGATTGCATGGCAAGCTGACTTCACACATTGTTCCTCCACACAGGCAAAGCAAGGTCATGCATCGAGGAACACAGTGCAGGGCAAGCCTGTCCAGCCAGGACTGTAACCTGGAAAAGCCATAACTCAGAGAAGAATTTTATTTTAAGGTCATACTGGGTAAATAGCCCAACTGAAGTCGGTTTAAGGTAGCAGGAAAACAACTGGGTAGGTGCAAGGAAGGGTTTTAATTCTCTATGTGGCCCACTGATGACATCAATACCAGAGGATCACCTCCCATCCTCGCTTCCTGTTCTAAAGAGATGCTGAAAAATTGGAAAGGAGAAAGAAATCAGCCACACAATTTCAAATTATGAGCCCAGCTACACAGAGGGAGGGTTCTCTGGCACTACACTGAGGCTCGGTGGCACTACCTGTTCTCACTGCTGTAAAAGAGAACCACAGAAATTCCCTCTTTACTATGAACATCACCAGGTTGAAACATAATAGTCCAGGACACACAGGTCAGAGCAAATTTCCCCTCTAGCACTGATCCAAAACGAGGAGTTTTAACCACCTTCTGCCAGGGATGGTGGGAGTCACAGCCCAGGTACAGCTGTTCTCAGGTGGAATCCACCCACTTTTACCATGAGCTGTTAAAGGAGTAACAGGAGCAGCTGCACACTCCCAAAGGTCCCTAGCTGCCCACATGCCTGCCCTACCTCCTGGAACTCATTGAGGAAGGAGTGCTCGTATTCTCCTCGGCACCGTTGCTCCATCCTCTCCTCTATCATCCGGTGCAAGATGGTGGTGACAGCATCGGCGCTCACTCTCTCCAGCAAATTCAGCCGGCGGCTACAGACACAGACAGCGACACGATTCAGTGTACGGAAGCAAAGGTACAAGCAAATAAAATAAAATCAAATCTAATTACCTGAAGGCACCTTCCTCCCTCTACGCTGCACAGCTGCAGGCACAGCTCTTAGTTTAAATGCTCTGATGAGCACATAGGTGCACCACACACATAACACATGACATTGCTTCTACCCCACCTTCCTTAGAAACATTATTTTCTAGCCATCAAAAGCTTTTTCATTTAGAAGAGGAAGAAACATATGTTTCTTGAAGATGGAAGAAACATTATGTTTCACCTTCTTTGTGGACAGAGGCCTTAGAGCAAGAGGAAAATATTCTCATATTCCAAGGAGAAGAACTTCCTGTCTAAAGATCTGCTCTAGTTTGACCACCAGCTGGAAATGAGCTGCAGAAACCCAGTGTCACATTCTCTAGCTGGTACTGTGATACAGCCTGGCCTCAGGTGTAACTCCTTCTGTTTTCAGATATCAAGAAAACCTGCTGCTGCTGCTGCTGCTCCCCATCCAGTCCCCTTGCTCAGAGACACAACCACCACCCCGTAAGCCACGTACAGAATGTCATTGAGCTGCTGAAACTGCTCCATGGCTTTGGGGCACCAGCACTGCTCTCTCTTGCTGCTGCAGCCTGCGCACAGCGGGCTCTCTCCTCCACCCTCCTCCGGATCACTCTCCTGCTCGGTCTCACTCATGCTGCTCTCACACTCGTTCGTTCCATCTTCTCCTTTCTTCCACTGCCGCATGTATATCCTGAAAGTGCGGCTGTAGAACTGCTGGATCATTTCCTGGAAGGACTTGGTAGTGGAGAAGAAAAGGATCGCTTTGAACATGGTGTAGACCTTTTCTTGAAGCATCTGAGCACCTGTCCCCAGGAGCAAGCCTGCCTTGGTCCACCTCTCCAGAAGTTCCAGGCTGTTCAGGTATGGGTCCAGGCGGCACTTGAGAAGACAAAACGCATCCAGAAGGAGTGAGGAGCACTGGGGCTCCTCAGCTGTGTTTTCATACTGGCCGATGCAGTTCCAGAACTCAGGAGCTATATTTGCCTGAAGGTCCGTCTGCAGCACCTCGATGAACCACTCCTCCACGATCGAGTGCAAGTCGTAACACCGCAACACATCCAGGGCTGCCCGCAGGTCGGCATCCTTCAGCGGCCCCACGGTATCAGACCTCGGAGCTGCCTGAAAAGCAGAGGGGATACCAAGTTAAGCACCCCAAAAAACTTCTCTAGGAGGATCTGCTGCAGAAGAGTCCCTCCTCTCCATTCTTTGAGACAGCTCTCCTCAAAGAATGGGGACTAAACGCCCAGACTCTGCTGTCCAACCGCACCAGGTAGACACCATTCCTCTGTGGAGAGACGCTGGGGTCTCAGCCCGTGGCTGGAAGCCAAGTGCCACCTCCCAGGCTTCACACCCAACACCG